ACACACACACATACAATCTAAAAAGCAAATAAAGTAGCTAGTCTATGTAAGTTTTCTATTTTGATAATGTTCTTCAGTTTAAAGATTAAACTTGAAAATCCCTGTTTTATGAGAAAGAACTCTACATGTTGCTGTACTTAATAGAAGTAGAAAACTTTTAAATGAAAACAGTTGAAATATACTTAATTTGTGCAATTAAAATTTCTGAGGATTCTCTTGAGTTAACTGATTTTTTTAAAATAACATAATAAAGCCCTGAAATGGTTTCCTTCAGTACCCTGCATCCACATCCTAAGAAACACTGTAAGTATTAATACACTTAATTTCTATCATACTTACCTTTTTGTGATAAATGCTACAGAGTCCTCTTTCTATATCAGGCAATTTACGTAGATGATTTTCTATATGGCCAAACACACTGGTTTCTGACTGGAGAACTTCAGATACAGCATCAAGTCGAGCATTAATTTCCCTATGAGAACAGTTAGAGCAATTGTTAGATATAACAGGAATTCAGAGCCCAGCACTGTGACCACAGCCATTAGGCAAGCACAAAGTAGACTCCTTCACATCTGTCACTCCCAGCCCCTTATCATTTGTATCAAAGAGCTGATCATATGAAGAAAGCCATCTGCTAGTGAGGTAGAAGCTGGCTAATAATTAGTTTTTCCTTTCCTCCCAAGCAACACATATTACCTTTTCCTGCCTCACCTCTAGTTTAGTATGGCATGTACCCAAGTTCTAACCAATGAAATCTGGGTAGGAATGATTAAAGCCCTGTTAGCCTTGTCCATGAAAAATCTCCTATGCTATGTTTCACATATTCTCTTCCAGCAGGATGTTGAGCCCAGGATGATCTTATAAGTTACAGATTGAATCCATCAGTCTGGATCCTTGAGTAAGGCAGAAAATCCTCCACTGCCATTTTTTTATGAATTGGACTTTATATTCAGCAAGAAATAAATTCTTATTTTATTTTAATCATTGAGATTAAAGACTGACTTGCTAAACTGTAGCTATTCCCTTGCTACAACAATTCTACAATGATCAACTAAATGTTCTACTCTTAGTGACCATCTCAACCAAAAAACAATTCTCCCAGCCAACCAACTGCTTCAATACTGAAGATGAAGGGGGTTGAACTGATCAGTTGTTTCCACTGAGCTAGGCTTAGGTATGCTGAACCCTAAAAAAAGACTGAGAATAGTAAGAGAAAGTCTAGAGGCTAGGACATGAGGACACCTGGGAGGTTGGAATGGTAGGATTTTGTCAATGACTTTACCTAAGTAATAAGACCCCCATGAAAGAAAAGGTGAGACTGTCAACTTAAAATGGAAACTTTTTCTGAGAGATATGGCCTACCCAGTACCTTATAAATATCAAAGTCCTACATTGGCTATAAAGGTCACATGTGATATAAAAGACTGTGATAAATAAACATAGCTAACAGAGAATAATAGGACATTGGTAAATTTTCTTTAAATGAATCAATGAACAAACAAGGGAGCAAATGAAGAAATTAACTGCTATTTTGGAAGAGAGACAACAGCTACCAAATACACATTTGTGTATCAAAGTTCTATTGACATAAATGCGATGGGAAAACCTTCCACCAGAATCCTAGATGACTGTTAAAATGAGCACTTTATAATTAAATCTTCACAGTCCCTAAATATTTACAGTCCCTATCCTGTGAAATCATGTCTGTTCATCATTCATCAGATGCTAACCAGAGGTACTAACGTTTTTGCTCCGTTTTTCTATGTTCAGTCTATAACGTGGAACAGGCACGTGGTTTAGCATAACATAGAACATGACAGTGTTTTGTAGACATAAAGCCTGGTTACTCCATTTCTCGTGAGGCCTCTTAAATCTATCGACTTCTCCTTCTCTTTACTAACATTATACTAGTTAAAATAAAACTAATTTTTCAGGAAGACTGAAGCAGTCTCCTAACCTTCCTCCCCACATCTACTTCTGCCACTTTTCCCAATCTATTCTCAGTAGCCTGAGTGGTCTCCCTAGAACTCAACTCTATTCATATCATACGTCTGCATTTAGCTCATCAGTGACTTGCCATTAACCTTACATTCAAATGCACAATCCTTAGCTGACCTACTAGACAACTGATCTCTATTTACCTTCTCAAGTTTCACTTCTTATCACCTGTCACTCTTTTCCTCCCACTTTAAGTGCCAGCAAGACTGAACTCTTTCAAAATCTTGGTTACTTCAATTTTTCTGACATTAGGGCTTTCTCATTTGCTGCTAACTCCTCCATAAGACTCTTTTCCTCTTTCCTACTGCTTACCAGCTCTACTTTTGTTCAGCAAGTTCCTACTCCTCCTCTTGAAGGACTTTCTACCTCACAAGATTTAATTTAATCCTTTGTAAGACTTTTCCATACTACCCTCAGTATTCTTCTTAGAGTAAAAATCTTAATTGTATTTACTTCTCACTTTATTTTTCACCAGACTATACACTCAATGAGAACAGAGAGAATTCTTTCATTGTGGTCATAATATATATTCAATAAATCACACTCAACTCAATTCACTTCTAAAGACTACATATAAATCAAGATGGGGTAAAAAAATTAAAAGCTAAATTTTCTTTGCATAGGATTGTTGTGATAAAATAAATCAATGTTTTATCTTAATGTCTACCAAAATGCTATACAAATATAAAGTTTTATTTTAATAACTTGCTCCTTGCATAAATGAAAGATACCAGTTGGAATAGACTAAGTTGATGCTACAGATGGTATGAGGACAGATAAAATAATGCCATCTGGGAACATATAAGACAGACTACAAAAATAGCTACTCTCAAAATTTACAAAGGTTATTTAAGATATGAAGATAAAAGCAAAAGAGAATTTTATTAACCTAAATCATATTTATAAAGTCAACTAGAAGGTTTCTTTAAATAGACATAAAATAATGAATTTCTTAGAAAGAGAATGAAAAGGTTGTGCTAAACTGGTCTGCACTATGGAGAAATACAAAATGGCTTTTATTTTAGCCTAGTGAGGCAAAAGGAAAAGCATGGTCACAATGAATCATTTTGGTTTCGACCCAGACTTCATTTGTTAGGTAGAATTTAGGTTGAAAAGGCAAGTGACATCAGTACAAATCCAAGCTTACATTTACCAATTATTTAGCCTTGCCCTAGTTTCTCTATCCATAAAATGGGATCATGCCCCTCATAGAGTTGTTAAAAGCATTCAATGAAATCATACATGTTAAGTACTTAGCACAATTCCTGGCACATAATAACTATACAATATATGTTAGTTGTTTCATTATTGTGGTGACCTTTATCTGTTTACAAAATTTGTTTGGTTGATACTACAAACAAAACATAAAAACAGTACTGGTGAAGGAGAAATATAATCCAAAATATGAGCATAGAAGTAACTAAAGTAGATAAGCCTTAAGTTAGAATTGTGCAAAAGGACATTTTGTGCAAGTGAACAGGAAGGAATGCACAGGGAAATTAGCCCTGGGATTACACATACTAAATCTGACTGGTAATAGTGACTTACAGTAGTGTGTTGAGGTTGGTTAGTGAACTGCATTGATAAAGAGTATCATAAACAATTATAGACATATCTATAACACAGGCAGGGAAAGGTAAAAAGTATGTGGTACTGTTTATCACAAATTTCTCATCAGTGTGGCAGTCACAATTCCAGTATTTCTGCTTATATGTAGATCAGAATGCAAATGAATAAAAACAAATTTTAATTATGTTTTTAAATAAGTTTGTATACCTTAGAATTGCTTTTAATTAGCAGCAATAACAAGATAATGGCAAAGAAACAGTATTTCAAACCACCAGAACAATTATGTTGGTGCAATCATGAGAATTGGTGACTGTAATCAAGAAAACACAAAGTAACACTGTAAATTAATGATTATAAAGACATTCGAAGATGCCCTATAGCATTCTATACTTGATCTTACAAAAGAACAGTTTTAGCTTTTTAAAAAATTTTATTTTTATTTTTTAAAACATCTTATTTTTTAGTTTAGAATTTCTCCCCTCAGATATGGTCGCCATAATTTTCCTGCCACCAGAGCACCCACAGTCCTTCACTTCAATCCACTGTGCTCTCCTCCCAAACTATTTCATATTCTCTCCTTCTCCTACCCCTTGTCCTCCAGAATGTCTCAGATCTATTGTCAGCTTTCAAAAGTCAATCTTACAGTTTGCCTTTGTCTTATCCTTTGTTTGGTTTCTCTATATTCCACATATAAGTACAACCATCTGGCATTTTTCTTTCTCCATCTGGCTTACTCCACTTAAAATAATCCTTTCCATCCATACTGCCACAAATGGCAAGTTTATCCTTTTTGATTGCTGAGTAGTATTCCGTTGTGTAGCTACACCACTTTTGGACCTATTCATCTGTTTTGGTGCCTTTAAGTTGTTTCCATATCTTTGCTATTTTAAATAGCGCTTCCACAAACACGGGAATGCAGAGTTCCTTCTGAGTTAGTGTTTTTGTACTCTCTGGATAGATACCTAGGAGTGGAACTGTTGGGTCACATGGCAGATATAGTTTTACTGTTTTGAGGAATCTCTATACTCTTTTCCATATGGGCTGGACCAGTCTACATTTCTATCAACAGTGTGATAGCACTCTTTCTCCATATGCTTACCAACCCTTGTCTTTTTAATACAGGTCATTCTCAAGGGTGTGAGGTGGCACCTCATTGTGGATTGTTTTGCATTTCCCTAATTAAAAGTGATGATGCATTATTAAAAAAAAAAAGTGATGATGAATATTTTATAATGTCTACTGGTCATTTGTGTATCTTCTTTGGAGAAGTGCTTTTTAGCTTTCTGCCCATTTTTTAACTGCCTTGTTTGTTTTCTTTTTACTGGGTTACATAAGCTCTCTGTAGATCTTCTATATCAATCCATTTTCAGAAGTATGGTGTGAAATATGTTCTCCTATTTAGTAGGCTATCTGTTTTTTGGTCACTGTCTCTTTTGTTGTATAGAAGCTTTTATAGTTTGATATAGTTTGATATATTTATTTTTTTCCCTTGCTGCTGGAGATGAGTCCTCAAAGCTGGTTTATATTATGGAGTATATTTTACCTCTGTTTTCTTCTGTGTTTTATGGCTTCAAGTCTTACATCCAAAACATTATCCATTTTGAGCTGATTTTTGTGTTTAGTACAAGATAATAATCTATTGAACAGTTTCATTCTTTGGCATGTAGCAGTCTAGTTTTCCCAGTGCCACTTATTAAAGAGATTTTCCTTGTTCCAGAACATTTCCTTTGCTCCTTTCTCATATACTAGTTGTCCATAAATGTGTGATTTTATTGGACACTCAATTCCATTGTTCTATGTGTTTGTCTTTGTTCCAGTACCAAAATGATGCATTTTCAGTTAATGAAAAGAAGGCGCCTGAGTCATTTCCTTCCATATGACAAAAGAAAAAAAAGTTGGAATTGAGATCCTGGTTAATAAGCTTTCTTCTTTACCTCCAAAGACTCAAGGACTAAATGTGGGTGTCAGTAGAGTCCACATTTGAAGATGCACTGGAAGATGACGTAAGTATCTGTTGTGTGTGGCTGCCACTCAGAAACACAGTGCATGGCCTATAGTTATCATTGTAAGAAAAGGTTGTTGAGTCTGTACCTGCAGTTGCTTTTTATGGAGATGCCACTATAATTCTAAAATAACATTATTTGGAAGAAAAAAAATAAAGTACAGACTGCTGGAGAGAAATTGATTTTAGTTGCTTGTTTGCCCTAAATTTCTACTGAAAGGTTTGCTGTTATGATGTGAGTGAATTAAATTCAGACATTAACATACTGGTCGCACCATATACTAAACCTACTACCAAAACAGCTTTCTAGTGGAAACATGAGCCATCCTACAATTTGTGGCATCCTTGAAGTTTCACCCTTCACACACATCATTTGTGCATTCATATAACGAACAATTACTGAGTGTTCACAATGCACCAATTAACAGAAGTAGTGGAAGATGGAGAGTGAAAACATTAACAGTGTGGCAGTGGAATCTAGCAGGCTGCTCAGGAGTTTATCGAGAACAACTGGAACCAACAGCTGATGTTTGAAATAAGGCCAGTGGGAGGAAAACTGGTTAGACAGCCTGTTCATTAATCCAGAATAGTGACACTGATGCTCTCAATTTGAGTGGAGGATATCGGGAAGAAATGAACACATAGTTTCAAGAATATCAAGGAGGTAAAGTTAACTGGAGTTGTGATTTATTAAATAATGGAAAGAGAAGGGAAGGAATGACTTGATAATCAGCCACTCACAGACAGGATATTCAAAACTTTATAGATCATAAAGAAATGTTTTATTTTTCTTATGAAATGACATTCAAATGAACTATTCTGAATATTTACCTTGTTGCTACTGTAAATCATCAAATAGCTTAAGGATTTGTATTTCTTGTGCTCTAATGAGGCATCATTTTTACCAACAAACAAAAAATTACCCTTTTCAGAATATTAAGTAGAACAATTTTTGACAACTTCTTTCCATTATCAATGTAGAACACAAATCTGAGACTTAAAGAACATGTTTTTGGTAATGGTGGGAATGGGTACTTTCAGACCAAACCTCTCACTGAGGACAATATAAAAAACCAAATGAAACAAAAGCACAGTGTCAAAGAAAAAAATGGTAAGGAGTAACTATACAAAGCAAGAAGGTTCAGAAATAGTTCAACAGTCAAGTCACTGAAGAGATATGCCAGAAAAATCTGCTGTAAAATGAGCTGGCCTCAATGTAAGGGTGAATTTGCAGTTTAAGTTTGCATCATTTGGAAGAACTAAAACATATCCAACTATGAACTTGAATTAAGATGACCTCAGACTGATAATGTCACCAAGACCTTGAAAGAAGCAAACAAAAATTTTCCCTGGGAAAAGTTACCTTCATTTTAGCCTTCCATTATTCTTTCAAGAAAATTTCCAAATAACAACCAGTATACCAAGATAATCAAACATAAACTGAAACCAGATGAGTCAGAACCAACAGAAACAACAGAAAATATGGACATAGTGGTGAAAAACTGAATTATAAAAAAAAATTATTAAAAAATAGTAAATAAATGCAAAAGAAATCACCGAAATGAAGCACAGACCGGTAGGGGAATGAGAAAGCAAGACAGTTATGTAAGTTTTTGTTGCTTTTACAGGTGATCTCACTCTTGATAATATTTTTATCTTTGACTTAATATCATATAGTTTCACTATTAGAAACATTAGGTCTCTGGGTTTTTTTCTATTGCATGTCAGATTCATTGTGCTTTCTAAACCTAGAACTCACACCTTTCATGAAATGTGAGAAACTCTTCTCCTTTATTATCATTTTGAACATTGTCTCTCTTCCCTTTTTCTCTAATTTTCTTCTTTTGGAAATCGGATAAGGGTATATTAGATCATCTGATTTCTAATCTTTCACTCTTTCATATATTTTACCATATTCTGTGCTACACTCTAATTTCTTCAGCTATGATTATCTTGCTACATTTATGTTTAATCCACCCCTTATTTCTAAAAGTTGCACTCTGTTCTTTTTAAAAGTTAACCTGATCTCTTTTGATGGTATTTATTTCTGTGCTCATTCTTTTTCTCTTTTGCATTTCTTTAAACATTTGATGTTTGTAATTATAATTCCATTATCTCGAGATCCTGGGGTTCTAATTCTTCTACATGGAACTCATTGTTACCTGTTCCCTTGTATTTGTAATCGTAGACTATGCGACTGTGGTGGAGCTATCTCTTTAGGGGTTCTAGAAGACTTAGACTGAGATCACAGTCCTACAGGGAGAAATGTTTTTTGCCTCCACTATGAATGCTGGGCATAATAGGACATTTTTAATTTGTTTCCTATCTTGGAAATTATCATATCACACAGATCATACAAATTGGAGCAGCAAACCTGATTTAGGGTAGGTATGTGATTAAGAATTCATGGAATTATCTCCCCCTGATGAGACGTGACCAAGACAGATATATTTTCCCCCTTTAATGAGATTATGAACCTCTTAGTGGATTATATTATTATACAGGCTCTCTAACTAAAATGGACAAAAGGCCTGACCCTTGCTTCCCAGAGGTTCTTTAAATGCTGGTTCTTTTGATTACCAACACCTGCAGTGGCCTGGGGGCAGCTGCAGTGTCAATATTAACTCACTTCCATTTCCAGATCCATTACCCATCTTGCCTTTTTACACCTTTTTTTCCTCCCCCCCAAACAAGCTTAACTATGTTCTGAAAGGATGCTTGCTAAACTCTGTGTGGTATATCTAGTTAGTTCATGTAAGGAAATGTCTTTATGACAGTAAAGCCACAGAAAATGAAGTCTTCCCACAGCATTTTAAGGGACGCTATTCTGAAAATCCTTACCAACTAAAGCATAAAAAATGCTTTCAGAGTCAAGAAGGAAATATATGTACATATATTGTCCTCTACATTCTTTCCAGTTGTCTCATTCTCAGCCCAAATGTAAGTCACCACTTACTATTATGACAGAAGTGATAGTGTGGCAACAAACACATTTTTAAAATTCATATAGACAGATTTCCTAAACATCTCACAACAACCCCTTTCAGATTTCTACTGTTAGTGCTTTAACTCAGGACCTCATAAGCTTTCCATAAACTTGCTAAATTGCCCCCCACCACCACTGCCTCCCCCACAGCTCTGACCTATCACTGTCATGTTCAGAATCATTAATTTAATCTTCTATGACTACCAACTCCTCAACCTAGTCTTCTTAGCCCTCTACAAAAGATAGCACCATCTCTACAGACCCTTATATGCCCTGAACTAACTGGACAACTCAGCTTTCAATCTGCAAGCAGTTTCATCCTTGTGAGTAAGAAAAAAAATTCCCACAATATTTGACAGTCTATTGCCAAATGCAAAATAAAATCTTTTGCAATTTAAAAATGTGTTTTCATAAAACTCAATAACCTTAGTTTTAAGGAAGCTAACACACATTTCACTAATTTAATATAATTTCAAACTAAAGGGGGAGGAGGAAGTAAATACTGGTTTAAAATGAACAATGCAAACAAATATATAAATTAGTAAATTTAAAGAATAACTTCAGACTAAACATAAAAGAATTCCTTTTACCTTAATTTAAGGAGTGGCTGGATCACCCACTTCTTCAACTTCCGTCTCCCAAATGAAGTTTTAGTGTGGTCTAAAACCCAAAATAAACTTCCTTTCGTTTTCATATCAGTCTAAGAAAGACCAGAAAACAAGTTTTATTAACTCAACAGTTATCTGTGTACCAAAACTACTAGCTGTTCATGCACTCTAATTATTCCACATGCCCCAATTTCAAATGACACCTAAATTACAGTTCATAACAGATGCTATTTATGTTTGATAAAATATATGCACACACACATATAAACATCCATAAACATATTTACATAATATAAAGTATTGATATTTTGCACAGAAAAGGAATAAAAAGACTGGAGTTTTGGGTATAGTCTATGTTCAGTTTTTGGTTAAGAATAAAATATTGAGGGCCCTCCCTGGTGGAGCAAAAGGTTAAAACACTGCACTAAGAAGTGTAAGCCACTTCCGCATGAGTTCGATTCCTGCCTATCCCGGAGGAGATCCACATGGCGTGGCAGACCTCTCCTGACCCACCCACTGCTCCCCTCAGCAGTGTACTTTGTCTATCTGTTTGTTCTGCTCCCCGCTCTGTCTCTGGTGAATCCTCTCACCCTCTGCATCTCTGGCCTGTACCCCAGTTCTGTATGAATGAATAAATAAATCTTAAAAAAAAATAAAATAAAGTATTGAGATGTTTCTTTTAAAATGCAGGTTTGAAAAAAAAATGCAGGTTGGTATTATTCAAAATATATATTTGTATACTTTCCTGCCTTGGAAAATACAGTTGAAGATGACATAGTTTCCCTATAGCAATTTAGTCATGCCCACTGTGAAAGGCTTCCCATTGTAAAGCCTGAAGTTCTAATGACAGAACTGAATAACAGCTAAAGATAGTGTATTAGCAGTGTGCTCTAACAGTTGACCCTGGAAGTTTCATTTTAACCTGTTTTATTAAATTCTAGTAAAGGTTTATCTATGTTTGTCACTTGAAAGTTGAGTCATAAAAAATGGCAGTTTATTTCAACTGATATTTTGCTGTATTACAAAAAAGTCTATTAACACGTTTAGATCTTAGAGATAAAACTGAGGTCTTCACCTAAATTTTTTTTTTTTTAAGCTTTTATCTCTTCCTTCAAATCAGTAAGTAGGTACTTAGCTAACACCTATGTGCTCAGCAGCATGACTGGCAGAGATTTAGTAAGACATGACCCCTTCCTCAGGATACTTATATCCAATATGGAAGAAGAGACTCATATTTAGAACAAAATGCCGCCTAGTAAAAAAATCATCTACAGAAGGTTTGATATAAACTCCCAGGCTCTAGGAGTTTAAAGCAAAGTGCACATAGAACCTACATGGTCAAAGAGGAGGTAGTGGAAAGCAGAGCACATGAACAAGGGCAGCTCAGATCTACAGCAAAACCATCTATTCTGAGACAAAAACCTGAAGCTTGACTCCATAAGGGTCTGATGAAGGGGAATCATTATGAGATTACCTGGCATCCTTAAAGATGCAAGCTCAACAAGAAAAAAAAAGGTGGGGAAGATCAAGTCCTGTTTACCTTTGCTTTCCCTGACAATCATCCCTCCTCATTACTTCTTCCCATTGTTCCATATAAGGGAGGCCACCAAAAATGATGGGCAAAGAAAAGCAAAAGATGTTAAATCTCAGCTTCTCTTTCTTACAAGGCCGCAAGTCCTGATAATGAAAAGAATTTTAAAGAGTACACTTTGATTGCAGGTCATTTTGCCTTAGGGATTTGATTTCAGAACGGACTCCCCCAACGCAGCATTTGAGCAGGGTTGATATGGCAGGAGTAAGGAAATCCTAGAAGGCCAGCACTGTGCCTACAGGCTTTGCAAGTTCTTCATCATCCAAGGAAAGTCATTTTATTTCTACTGCTTGTTTCCTAATACGTGGATGTACAGGAATTTTAACAAGAAAGACTTGTAGGAAAGATTTTCAACGTATGGATTATACAGTGACAGGATAAAAATGCTACTGAATGAAAGTAACACTGACTACAGTATAAGACGATAGCCTGGGAGAAGGAGAAACTAGTAAGAGAAATAAGTTGTCAGGAAAATTAATAGTGTTCACTTTAATTCAGAGCTGTAATAAATATTTCTGAAGAGTTTAAAATTAGTGAACTCAAACAGCTTAGCTTTTCTCCTACTAAAATGACTTAGAGCTGTCTGATTTCTATGACTTTATGTTACAATAATATTAGTTTTACAACACAGTATTTCCCATTTTCAAGTGATAATAAAATAAATGAAGGCCCAAATTTTAGTGATTTATCACCTTCCAATTCTTCAATAAAGTGCAAGTAAATTGTGAAGTGAAATATTATGTTACAGTCAAACGGAATTATTGCAAAACTTGTTTTATATACTGAATAATGAAAATAAGATTGCAGACACTTCAATAAAAAGTTAAAATAGGTAGAAAAAGGCCCTCCCTGGTGTTACAGTGGATTAAAGCACAGCACTAAGACGCTAAAGCCACTTCAGCACGAGTTTGATCCCCGCCCCAGAGGTGATTTACATTGCGCAGCAAACCTCTCCTGACCCACCCACTGCTCCCCTCAGCACTGTACTTCATCTGTCAGCCTGTTCTGTTCCCTGCTCTGTCTCTAGTAAATCCTCTCACTGCCCCTGCACCTCTGGCCTGTTCCCCAGTTCTGTATGCACAAATAAATCTTTTAAAAAAATAGGTAGAAAAATATGTAACCAAGCAGACATATAAGATCTGTTTCAAAGATTAATTTTCAAAGATTATGCTTTTTAAGGAAATATTTGATAAAGAAAGTATCAGGATAGGCATATCACTATAATCACTAAAAAGTTTAGTTTCTCAGATGGGACTACATCAAGTTAAAGAGCTTCTGTACAGCAAAAGAGACATTACAAAAAACAGACAGACATTTCACTGATTGGGAAAAAATTTTCTCACACAAAACTAGCGATAAAGGATTGATCACAAAGATATACAAAAGAACTGATGAAACTCAACAAAATAGAGTACACAACCCCATCACATCCAAAGAGGAACTGCAGATGGCCAACAAGCATATGAAAAAATGTTCAGTATCACTTGTAATAAGGGAGATGCAAATTAAAACCACAATGAGATACCACCTCACACCACTCAGAGTGCCACATCTTAAAACAACTAGCAACAACAAATGTTGATGTGGAGAAAAAGGAACTCTTCTGCACCACTGGTGGGAATACAAACTAGTACAGCCACTATAGAAATCTGTTTGGAAGTTTCTCAAACTGCTAAAAATGGAGCTTCCATATGACCCAGCAAGCCTACTCCTAGGTATCTACCCCTAAGACACAAAAACACCGATTCAAAAAGACACCTGCACACCCATGTTTATTGCTGCTTTATTTACAATAGGGAAGACATGGAATCAACCCAAATGCCCAAAAGTAGATAGCTGGATTAAAAAAAATGTGGTGTATATACACAATGGAATATTACTCAGCAATCAAAAAGGATAAACACATGCCTTTTAAAAAAACATGGATGGAGCTAGAAGGGATCATACTTAGTGAAATAAGCCAGAAAGAAAAGGAAAAATACCAGATGGTTTAACTCATAGCATGAGTATAAATGACCAGGGGATAAAATAATAATAATAATAATGAACAACTATATATTAGACATTTTATGGGGTATGGGATCAAAAATGGGGGGGGGGAGTATACTGGACTATGATGATGGCACACAGGTGATTTGGTGATGTGAAGCCCACGGGGATTACAACTGAGATGGAAAAATGCACAAAATGATGTAAAAATAAACTAATATATTTTTTTAATCTCAAAAAAAAAAATCCCACATACAGCTAAAAAAAAAAGTTTAATTTCCATGGTTCCCAAAATATTCCTCATGAAAGAGTTATTTTATTTTATTCTCAAAAGAGTGCCCCAATTACCAATAGGTAGAGCCAGCAGATGAAATGTTATTTTCACCTGCATATCTAAGACTACTTACCTTATTTCATTTTTTTTTTTTCAAAACCATTTTGTACCAGTCAGCCCTAGTGTTTACCTGACCTGATTCTGAAGGATTTCCAGATTCCTTAATGTTGTTCCATTAACTGTCATAAACTCCATTTCACTTGACAGCTGTTTAAAATTCCTGTAAGACAATGAAATATGAGCCATGATATTAGGTGTGTGTGTATATTTTATTTTACACAATAGAAATATTCAAATAACTAGTAAAAGCTAATTCTGCAAAAGGAACAAAAGGAATAGTCACTAGGCTATAGTAATGGCAACAACAATTTTTTTTTTTTTTTAGTTTCTAGGAATAAAACCAAACATTGGCAGATCAAGGGTGGTATCTTTAGAGAAAGCTATGCAATTAGCTAGAAAAAATATGTTCAGATACTTCAGAATGCCCTCCTTGTTCTTTAGCATGAGATACTTTTACATGATAAAAACTTCAAAAGCTTTAATCAACATTCTGATCTTTGGAACAAATTACTCTATAATTAACAACACAGTAATGAAGCCAATGTTTACTAAAGTATAAAACCGAAAGAGTAGCAGAAATTATTTCCTTAAAGCTCTTAAAATTCACATTCTCCTTATATCCCTGTAACTATCCCAAAATAGAATAAAAGTTCAATAAATTTCAATGAATTATACCATGATTGACAAATGTATTTAAAATTCAAACTTTGTGTTTATTAGTCTTTCATAAATATATTACTCAAAGCATCCAATTCATTAATTGTAATGCATGCAAATCAACTTTCTTGATAAAGATAAAACTTTCTTAGGATTTATATCAACAGCATTTACAGACTGGATGGCTTTTTTTTTTAATAAGTTTATTTTTACATCATTTTGTACATTTTGGAGGGCTTATTTTTTAAAGGCAAGAAAAATAATGACAAGTCACCAAACTAGTTGGAGAGAAAGTATGAGTGTTTGCATTATAAATCTGGCCACACTTATCATGGCAGTAAAAAATTTTAAATAAAATCTAGTTTCCCGAGCCAGTTATGAAAACAAGCTCTCATCCAGGAATCCAGAGGCCAATATCAGAGCCAGTGCTCAAGAGGGATGCCTTCACTTCTAGGTGACTCCTCTAATGAAAACTCCAGACCTCTAAAAAAGGAATAACTTACTGCATATATTAGGAACACTGCCTAGATTAAACACTGTCCTTTGGCAGTGTAATTTATTTGCCAGAGGTTTGACTTAGCTTCCACAGGATATCCTGTTCATAATTTTCAAGGGAAAGCAATTCCAACGGTGTTATACCAGTTATATGTAGCCCCTTCTCTTCTTTCAGCAATTAATGTAATTTGTTTTGCATTACAGCAATTTATGTTCTTCTGCTATCCTCATTAATAAAGCCAAGCTCCTTAAAGGCAATGGTTATTTGTGTGCCATACATTTTGCAGCATCTGCAGATCTAGCATAAAGTAGATGTTCAGTAAGTGTCTGCCATCTTCCTATGGGGAAGCCAGTTTGGGCTTGTTTGTTTTCTTTGGGTCATAAAGCTTAGAAATGTCTGTGAAAAACTCGAGGCAGTAATAAAATATGAAACAGAATTTGCAGGAAGAAACAATTGGCTACTAGAAAGGAGCTTACAATTTCATGGTCAAAAATCCAAGCTGGACACTCAGTTGATATTTAACCAGTTTTCATGTGCTTAGATTTAACTCAACTACTTCCCCTGTTCTTGACAGATTTAACCTACACAATTAACACTGAGTACTTTCATCAGATACAAACTCTCAATCAGCAAACCAGCAGTCCTTCCTAAGAACTCATCTCAGCTATCTATTTTTATACCCCCTGACAAACAGAGGAATACGAAAAATAAGTGGCATTTAAGATGTGTGGACTGCCCAGAAATACCACTCAGCTGCCTCCACCCTTGCAAGAACTTGTAAACGCAACAGTCAGTTCCATCCCTGGAGGAATGGTGCCTTATGTTTAGGATTCTGAAAGCAATCCTCATCCTATCAATTACCTGAGGGTTTCATCACCTAACTAACAAAAGAGAATTTCTGCTCTTTACCATGCTTCAGTGAACCACTAAAGCAAAGCACTATTAGTAGAGCAAAAAGAGTGAACAGGAAGTTTGTGGCTCTTATAGACTTAGAAAGGTGAGAAAATGTTCTCACTACCTTCTTTTATTCCACCAGAGGCAATAAACCAGCATTTCCTATAAGGTAAGTTGGCAGTTTTTAAATCTTGAACTCTATAAAGTCATCACTTTTAGAAACTTGTCTATACTAGTAGCTATCTTCTTTATCTCCAACTTTTTATGTCTATAAAATAAGAAATGAAACTAAGAATAAGAAAGGCAGTGAAATTTTTTGCATTCCTTTTAATACTACTTCTTAATTCCACTTCTAAATACCACTTGCTAATTAACTGTACTGTAGTCAAAACTTTTAAGTTATCATAAACACAAGCTGACAGAATTTTAAAGGATTTTATTAATACTTTCTAACATATTTTAAGAATAATTTTAATATTCTTCAGCAACAATGCCATACAGTTCATGCTTGCCTCTGAATAAGCTATTCTATCAATAGTAGATACATTTCTGAGTATAATTCTTATCAAAATCAATTTAAGAATATTTTCAATATAGCTATGCTCCTTTTCTAGTATTTCAGAAATCACTTACTTGGGTTTGGAAAGCATCTTTTCCAAGTTAAACTCTTTGAGGTACCTTATTAAAGCAGCCAAAGAGCAAATCACAGGTTTCTCCAAGTTGATGATACCAGAAAAACTTTGAGATGCTAAAAATCAGAATATATACTTATTCACCATCATTGAATACAAAATTTAAGTTACATAAAGTGTATTTTATGATTATTGAAATATTAGACAATACCTCCTAAAACTGCCTTTTCTTTTGAAAGACTAGATTATGAATACCTAGGGTATGGAAGAAAAAAAAAAACATTTTCTCATGGTAAGATGACTCTTTTGGGAAGAGCAGTGTGATCTTCTCCGTTAACTACCTCAATTTTTGCTCAAATTTTTGTTCAAGTAAAGGCCTTTCTTTGCCACCCTATTTAAAGTTCACCCTATTCCCTGCCTTGTTTTCTTCATAGCAACTTTTTAAAAATGTAAAATGTTCATCAACTTTGACCCAGAAATACTCCAAAAATGAAAGTCAAAGATGTATATGCTGAAATTGAGTGGAAAATTTTTGGTAATAAATTTAAAAAAAAAAGAAAAACTACAGAGGGCCCTCCCTGGTGGCACGACAGGTTAGGATGCAGCACAGCAAGCTAGCGGCAGCTGCTTCAGTACGAGTTCAATCCCCGCCCCGGAGGTGACCCACATGTGGCAGACCTCTCCTGACCTGCCTGCTGCTCCCCTCAGCGGTGTACTTCATCAGTCGGCCTGTTCTACTTCCCACTCCGTCACTGGTGAATCCTCTCACTTCCCCTGTACCTCTGGCCTGTACCCCAGTTCTGTATGCATAAATAATCTTTTTTTTTTAAAGATTTATTTATTTATTCATACAGAACAGAGATGCGGAGGGGAAGAGCATTCACCAGAGACAGAGTGGGGAACAGAACAGGCAGATCGACGAAGTACACTGCTGAGGGGAGCAGCGGGCGGGTCAGGAGAGGTCTGCCACGCCGGGGCAGGCGGGAATCGAACTCATGCGGAAGTGGCTTAAGCTTCTTAGTGCAGTGCTTTAACCCACTGTGCCACCAGGGAGGGCCCTAAATAAAGTAATCTTTAAAAAAAAGATACAGAAAACCTAACTGAGCACCAACAGGGTAGTAGTAAAATAAATTGGGTAAGTCCAGATTATCATGTACCTAGTAATTGGAGTAACAGCTATCTGTACTGATATGGAAAACTGCTGATACAATATTGGTGAGTGAGTAAAAAAGATGTACAATCATTTTCTTCTCTCACAAGGAATAGTACTACAGCTTTCCCTCTGGTGTCCCAACTTCAACCTTGTGCACCACAGTATAAACTTAACAGGCAGCCCAAATTAAGTTCCTTTTCTCTGTAATTCAGATCATTACACTACTTTACTTTAAATCCTCCAACATGCTTCAACTTGCAGGGAAAAAAAGCTCAAGTCCTTCTACTTCTTGCATCTCCCTTCACCTCTGAGCTCACTTCCCAATGTTTTTTCCCTCTAGTTACTCTATCTCAGTACTCAGGCTCCTTAATGTTTCTTCAACATGCCACGCACTTAAGATATTTTAAACTACTGACTCTGTCTATCACACTGTTCTTTCACATGTCTGTGTGATCTTCCCCCTGAACTACTCAGTTTTGTTCAAATCTTTGTTCAAGTAAAGGTCTTTCTTTGCCACCCTACTTAAAGTTCATCCTATTTGCTGCTTTGTTTCCTTCACAGCACTTACTACCCTCCAGTGCACACTTACTTTACTGTACCTCTCTCTACCTATTCAAGGGTAAGCTCCAAAAGGAGGAACTGAGTTCTATTTCTTATTGTACATACAATACCTCACACATAATAGTGAAAATTACTTAAAGGAATAAATCAAAGTTACATTAAACAAATATACACAATTACATTTGTATGGTTGTATGTATGTGTGGACTTGTACATAAGATTTCCTAAGGATATATGCAAGAGCAGGGAGAAAGTTTGAGGTGAGAGGGACTTTTACTTTTTTATCTACACTCAATTCTGCTTTTTTACATTTTTATAATAAGCATATATTAATTTTAACAAGACTGTAACATACCCTCTACAAATCAGTAAAATAAAGTATCTAAATTTTAACCAGTTTTTTCATAAAACCAAGGTTTAAAAAGTTAACAAAAAACTTTGCATCTCTACAGAGAAACTAATCTTTTAAATTTCTTACTCTATTCCCCAGGAAACCTGTTAGAAAGAAGATCTGTGTCATTGTGGTAGCAATGTAAACTTTTAAAAATGACTTGAAATAAGTATATTTCATGAGAACTGGAAGAAATAACAAATACCTTATTCCAGAATTTTGGAATCTCATGAATATTCATCAGTATGGTATATTCTTTGTAGAAACCCCAGGAAGAAATGAGGGTTCCTCTAGGGACAGGACCACAGTCAGTCCTGAGCTCACCTGACAGGAATCTCCTTTCATTGCAGCTAAGTTGTCAGTGGGGTGGGGTAATCAAACTCTCAAAGGCTCTGCACATTGCTACCAAGTATGCTGTGAACTTCCTCCTACCAACCTAAGCCCTGCCAGCAAATTGGGTTCTTTGTCCCAAGTCCTTCCAAGCAAATCTGATGCCCAGATTGGCTTATGATGGTCTGTGACTTAGTCTTGTTTTTAAGTGAACTACAGATGATAATCAGGTGATGATATAGCAGACTGATATTAGAAATGAATTACCTTCACAGACATCTTTCAATTTGGTGAAGGAACCATGAGATTAAAAGAGAAGGAGAGGGCCCTTTCTGGTGGCGCAGTGGGTTAAAACACAGCACTACAAAGCTAAAGCCACCTCAGCATGAGTTCGATCCCCATTCCAGAGGTGACCCACATGGCATGCAGACCTCTCCTGACCCACCCACTGCTCCCCTCAGCAGTGTACTTTGTCAGTCAGCCTGTTCTGCTCCCCACTCTGTCTCTGGTAAATCTCACCACCCCTGCACCTCTGGCCTGTATCCCAGTTCTGTATGCATAAATAAATAAATCTTTAAAAAAAAAAAAAAGAGAGAGAGAGAAATGCTAATAACGCAATAATACCTCCTCCAGGGTAAATGGGGCTGAGGTGGGAACTCCAAAGGAAGGACTGATCTACCTGTGGTCTAATGATAAAAGAACTGTACCATGTGACAAATGATAAAAATATACTTTAACAGAGTGGGACTGACAAGAATGGAGCATACAGACCCAAGCAAATACAGATACCTAGCTGAAGAAATGTGAATTAGATAAATAATGGTTCCCTAATACAGTGAGACCTTCTCACTAATACTACGGCACTTAAAATTCTGGCAACCAATCACTCAATTGCTAGTCTTCATCGGGAGATTTATCCAAACACACTATAAAAAGCAAAGAAAATAATAGACCATCCTTAAAAAGGAGCAAAGAAAAAAGCTGGTCAATCACTTACTCTTCCCAATCCAATGAACATGTTTTAAAAATCCAGTTACAAAATATCATTAAGTAAAAAGGAAGCAGTGTGATGGTACTTTCAATGAATATAAGAATAATGAGCTCTTCCCTCTACTCTTTCAGTTACTTAGTAATTAGCTAGTTTCCATTTAATTCAAAGTCAAATTTAACAACTTTAAATCTCAACTAGTTAAATTTAAGTACAGATGGCTAACATGTATAAAACATTTACCTTTGATGTCAACTACATCTTTTGCATAAAACTCTGTAACCACTTGGAAAGCATGACTGTATTCAAAATACGTGTTATCCATCCTTTCCACTCGAATTCTGTCATCCCGCACACTGAAAGAAAAAAGTGAAATCTCAAATGTAACTATCCATAATCTTAAACTGTCTGTTTTTAGGCTTTGCCTTGACCAAAATTAATAATACTCATTCCTTATTTTGCTCCTAAATTGAAGAAAAAGAAAGACTTGTTGTCTGTCAAAAGGTCCATTTCACAGAAAAAAACTTTTAAATAATAATTTTTACTACTGGCATTTTATATCACCTTGCACATTGTGAGTACATGTATGGTAACAAGAATTCAAGGAAATTATGGTCAATTAGTTTAGTAAACAATGAAGAGAGAAAAATGGAGAAGAATCACTGCAATTTAATCATGTGTTTAAATACTCTAGCAATAGAAACATAATCAACTGATTTTTTGAAGTGGCACCTTTGCTTGGCTTTTTGCTATGCCCATTTCTACTGTAACCTCCCCTCAAATATAGTTATTTTTCCCTCGGCCAACTCCAACTTTGATTCTGTCATCTACCTATATATTAAACTCTACAGAGATGTGATCATCAAATACGGACCATAGAAAGCTACAGGAAAAACAATCCAATTTCTTTAACAAATAAGGGGATGGAGGTGAGATGGCGAGGAACCTGTACAAAAAGAAGCTTTTCTTTAAAGGGGACATATTTAAAAGAAATTGGTAAAATTAAACTATAAGGACACACACTTGGGTGACAAAGATACAAAAAAATAATGACAAAGCTGTAGTTTTTTCTATATACTTATAGTTTTCCATATTTGCACTATATTAATTTTTTTCAGATAAAGCACAAAGGATTCCACTATTACCTAAAATTACCTAACATACTCTTGAAACCATCTAACATACTCTTAAAACCACCTTTTATGGGCCCTCCCTGGTGGCGCAGTGGGTTAAAGCACAGCACTGAGAATCTAAAGCCCTTCCGCATGAGTTCGATTCCCGCCTGCCCCAGAGGTGACCACATGGCGTGGCAGACCTCCCCTGACCCGCCCACTGCTCTCCTCAGCAGTGTACTTCATCGATCTGCCTGTCCTGCTCCCCGCTCTGTCTCTGGTGAATCCTCTCACCCTCCGCGTCTCTGGCCTGTACCCCAGTTCTGTATGCACAAATAAATAAATCTTTAAAAAAAAAAAAAACCACCTTTTATGTTATACTTTAATCAAGAATTCATTTTATTCCATAAGCAGCTACCAATGTTCCATCATCATTCTGAATTTAAACTTATTTTGTTGTCAAATACATTTGGAAGTACTATCCTAGTAACAGTATTTCTAGCTTACAAGGAATATTAAAGTTTATGTGGTATTTCATGAAGACAATGAGCTTTTCTTTTTGTACACATCAATAGAAAATCAGAAAGGTTGAAAAGTAACTGAAAAATAGTCAGAGACAAAAATGATTAATCGATTTCCTAAAAACTGGGTACAACTCACAAGGCCATCTGAAAATTAGTTATATATATGACTTGAGATTGTAAACTGTCTAAGAGTAGGTCTGGTGTAAGAGGGTAACACAAACTAGATAAAAACCTGAGAAGAGTTACAAATACAACAGTGTACGTGTATAATAACTAAGAATCTTAATGATGTCCTAAGTACTGAATGATTACAAGCTTGCTCTGAGCACTCTGAAAACACTAAAAACTTCCTGTTTATATAGGTAAGTCTTCTATAATTCCTAAACCAACCACAGGTGTTAACCGGCTCTGAGCTTATTCCACTATTTCCTCTACCAAAAAATATCTAATTTATTCAGTTTCATTCATGTGAATATTTATAAGTATCTTTTTGAGTTTTTCTGTTTCTTACAAAAAAATTCTACCAAACAAGTAGGAAGCCACCTACTTATACAGCACACCAAAAGATAGACTGAATCTTTCCTATCTTTAATTTGTATTTTTTATTGATTTTTAAGTACTTTAAGCTAAATTTTAAAAAATCCTCATTCCCCCCAAATAATAAACAATATAACCTATTAAGATATATACATTGCACTTCTACCTCTAGCTTCAAAGAAGTAGCTTGAGACAGACCACTACTACCATCAAGCATGAGACAAGTGGGCCCTCCCTGGTGGCGCAGCAGATTAAAGCACAGCACTAAGAAGTTAAAGCCACTTCAGCATGAGTTCGGTCTTGCCTGCCCTGGAGATGACCCACATGGCACAGCAGACCTCTCCTGACCCGCCCGCTGCTCTCCTCAACAGTGTACTTCGTCGATCTGCCTGTTCTGCTCCCCACTCTGTCTCTGGGGAATCCTCTCACTGCCCATGCACCTATGGCTTGTACACCAATTCTGTATGCACAAATAAATAAATCTTAAAAAAAAAAAAAAAAGAATGAGAAAAGTCAGTTTAAATATGGAAAAATATCTGAGGGGGTCAGAAATTAAGGGCCCCAGATATCAGAAAGAGCACTGACAAAATAAAAGCCAACACTCTGCTTTGCTTTTCCTCTGCGGACATCTGATAATCTCTTCTCTGATGATCCTGAGAGGAAGAAACTGAAGATCTGGGCAGAAAGCCAATACTAAGAAATAGAGGAGGTAGCAGAGTAGTAAGTAATCTTTTGCAATGGGAGGAGGACTGCCAAAGCAACTGAACGGTGAGGAAGCACAGAACAATAAACTCAACTATCAGTGGTCGTCCCCTCTAGGTTAACTGCTAGAATTTAAAGTTCCACAGGACATAGCAGTGGAGAGAGGGGAACGTTTGAAACAGGCCTACAGTGCACACTCTACCTTGAGAAGAGCATGTGGAGTTGTGGCTTCTGAAAGACTACTAACTCCCCAAAGGAAAAGATGCTTCATTTTCATGAGTCAAAGATGTACCCATTACGGAAAGGGTTGCAAAGCTAAGTCCTCCACTTCTTGATTCACTGAGTAAATGCTATGAAAAAAAAACTATCACGTGGATTTATTATTTACAATGGACAGAGAATTGACTATTAGCTCTTATTTTAGTTCTGATAATGTAACAAGTCAGAATAGTTGAATAGAAAGAATATTTGATTTTAGGAAAACATGGTGACAGAGTAGAATATATAATCTCTAGAGGGGAAATATGAAGAATTCTGGAAATTACTTTTTTCCTAGGCTTGTTTAGGTATGAAAATGAACATTAATTAAGTAGAAAGAATCACTAATGGATTCCAAATATAAAATGCTAAAATAAATGTACTGCATTGACAAAAACTCTCCAATGCAAATACCGAGAGAAAAGATTAGATCCCAGTCTGTTTAAATAATAGGCTTAAAAAACTTTTTTAACTTTATTAAGCAACAACAAAAAGACTTCAAGAGTTGTTCTGGATTGCATGAGACTCACTCAGGAGACATCAGTAATTACTAGAATCTGTTCGTGAAAAAAGAGTAGAAATTGCCAGCAGGATTTAAGAAACAAAAAGAAAAAACTGGAGTCATGTGGTAGAGTCAGGGCATGATCCAATCTAAAGACTACAATGAAGCCTAAGAAAATGAAAGCTCTATCTAAGCACGGGATAAAAAGCAAACTGTAGTAGAAATTTAAATGTCACAATTTAAAGAGATGGCTTCTAGCCTGAACAAAACACTATTTTCCCCCTTTATAAATCTCATACATTGGAAAAAACAGAAAGTCATTGTGGGATTATCTGTCCAGGCTTTCAGGGGAGGTCCTCGTCAACATGCTTCCACTCCAGCCTTTCTGTGGGAGCAAGAAAACAGCTGCTGAGAAGTGAGAGGGGCAGGGGCAGGGGCGAAGATGTTACAGAAGGGGAAGAAACACGATTTGCATTTGGGGAAGAAAATCAACAAAATGACCCTCCTTTTTTAAACTTGGATACCTGCTATTCTGCCAAATAACAATCTCTAGAGTAAGTATGAATGAGTTATTTTTCCTACAGTTTCTACAACTCTGAAGCCAATATCTAGTTTACTAAAAGAAAGAAGTATACATAATATTTTAGCTGCTGAGTATTTCACAGGAAAGCTTAATGCTGCTGTAAAGGCCCTTTAAATCTTTTTTTAATCCCCTTCAATAAATGAAACTGGAGGAATTTGAGGGCAGAGATGGGATTTGTTGTGTAATAAACACCTATAGTTTTAGTCTTTCTATATTGAGAAGCAGTAGTGGAGCACCTCCTAATATGGGCAGCTACACTAGTTTACTTACCTTCTTATAATAAAACTGTCATAATGTAGTAATATGGACTTGCCCCTATAGATAACAGTTAATAATTCTGAAATACTGAGGTCTTACCGAGATTCTGATGATTCAAACCTATACGACTGAATATTAAGCAGGACAGGGTAAGGTCTCTGGTACAAATACCTTGAAATAATTTCTAAATAGAAAGGTAATTTAACTGTATATATTGCATCCTGTGTCACCTCGCTCTATACTAATATTTGATAAAGACTTTATATGAATCTTCTAAAGCAGAATCAAAGCTCTTCGAGAAATGTCAAGTCTTTAGAATTAGCAATCTTACATGAGTAGTACCAAAACACTATCAGATGGCAGAGAATGCACACTATTAGAACTAAAATTACCTGAAAAAAAATTAAGAACTGCACAGAACAAGAAGCTAAGTAGACAGCAAAAACTAAACAAAAGAGCAATGTAAGTTATCATCCTAACAGAATAAAAGAAAAATCACATAATCACCTGATAGTGAAAAAATTTGATGAAAATCAATTCAAGATCTTAAAACCCTTGAAAAACAATGAAGTAAATTTTCTTCATCAGATGAATAAAACAGAAAAACTAATTAAGAACCAGAGAAAGACAACCTTAAAAGCAAACCCTTGAAAACTGAAAAACTGAAGCATCCAAAGCAGAGAAGGGTAGGGAGAAGTCGGAGCAAAAACGAAAGGAAACGCCGTGCTCTACGGTGATGGACTGTGGGTGATTTGGTGGCAAGACCCTACAGTGGCAATGCCTAACAGGGAGAATCCTAATGTTATCACAATTAAAAGAATAAACTACTTTTTTAAAAATTAAACTAAGAATTTAAATTTCTTTTAAATTTGTATCAGAA